ATCCTGACTGTAGGATAAAAATTTATATTGCATGTCTAGTGTATCCTATATCTCGTCGCTGTCAGTACACAAATAAATAAATAAATAAAAAAGGTGTTCCTTTTTATTTTTCTACCTTAATATTAAAGTTTTCTAAACAATCGTAATACTTTCTCTGAGCTTCGTCGGTGACAAAGCTTGGTAATTTTTACACGCGCCATCTGTCACGTGTAGCTCTGTTGTGTATACATAACCTTCAGACATAACCTCAAACGAATGATTACGTTATAAAATCCGATTTTCATTCAATCGTTACACATTGAAAAAATATATAATTACATAGCAATTCTGGTAGATTACGGGAAAGACAATTTATTTCAATCGAATTACTCTGTGAATTGTATATCATCGGTATAAAAAATGGTAAGAACTATGAAATATCTTACTATGATGAATATAAACATCAGTATTAATAACGTCTATTTCCTTTTTCAGGCAAGAAACGCGGAAAAAGCAATGTAAGAATTTACAACTGAAATGTTTTCTCATCTTCCCGAGTTTGAATACTTTATTTCAATGTAGGTTCACTTTTATAGGACCACGCTTGCTAGGTGGAGAGCAGCTCAAAGCAATGAAGGCGCCAGAAAAGAACAGGAGAGGAGGCCTTATTTGGCATCTGAATGCAGAGATCTGAGGAAAGCAGAAAAGTGGAGAATGCAAATAATTAGAGAAATTGCAAAGAAGGTTGCACAAATACAAAATGCGGGCCTTGGAGAATTTAGGATCAGAGATTTGAACGACGAGATTAATAAGTTACTGAGGGAAAAAAGGCATTGGGAAGCTCAGATAAAGGAGCTTGGTGGTCCCGATTATTCCAGAGTGGGGCCACGCATGTTAGACCACGAGGGTCGTGAGGTAAACCATGCGTTTGTTTTCAAACATTTTTTTTTTTACATGCAACGAACAATGAAATTTAATGATGAAGTCAATTTTCTAGGTACCTGGAAATCGTGGTTACAAATATTTCGGGGCAGCGAAAGAATTACCAGGTGTTAGAGAACTTTTTGAACAAGAGCCTCCACCGCCTCCTCGGAAAACTCGAGCGGAATTGATGAAAGACATCGACGCCGATTATTATGGTTACAGAGACGACGATGACGGCATATTGTTACCATTGGAACAGAAAGCGGAACAAGAGGCCAGAGAGAGAGCTATGCAGGAATGGTCGGCGCAAAATGAAAGGAAGGAAACACAGGACGACGAAGAGGTAGAAATCACGGCGCAAAGAGCGATACCGTCGCAACAAGATATTCAGGAAGCGTTACTCGCAAGAAAGAAGCAAGAGCTGTTAGAGAAATATGTACTTTGACAGGTTTTATTATCTCTCCGTATGTGTTCAATAACAACTATTTTGTAAGTTTATTCGTTTAATTGTATTAGAGTACACTTTTATAAAACGCGACAAATATAATAATAATAATTGTTGTTGTTGTTGTTGTTATTATTATTATTATTATTAATTTATAATTAATAACATTGATTAAGGTAATTATTTTGTGCAGTAGACGTTCAAACTCCGATTTTAATACTTATCGAGAAAAAGGGGCTGAAGGGAAGGGGGAGAGAAAGATAAAGGGTGAGGGATGGGAGAGAGAGTGAGAGTGCTGTAGATAAAATATATAGATAAAAATTCAATGATAGTCTGTTTATAATCCTCGCGATTGTTACTCGTAATTGTTTTAAATAGAAATTCTTTCTCGCCCTTTCTTATCGACAATTTAAAAGTACTTGACACTCGAAGCGGCAAAATTGAAATGTAACCATGTCAATTAGTATGTCCATTGGAGTGTACATTTATATATTGTCGATAATGATACTTAAATAACGAAGGTTTATAAACATTGTTCATACGTTCCCGCCGTGTGACCAATGTTTCAAGCGTTTTCAACCGAGTTTCTCTCGTTCACTTTTTCCCCTGTTAACGCAGTGCCCAACTATTCTCATTTGAGATTAAATGAAGTCTATCGTGGCCATGTTACAACGAATTGGAAACAACTGGCGAAAGGCTTAGACATTACCCTGAAAATACATTACTCGTTAGCTAAGTATTTAAATACACGCGTCGCAAACGTCTTTCAGCAATCTACGTTACCCCTGGCAGAAAACGTTGAAGATTCACGTTGACAAATTCCTCGGTTGCTTTAGATCACCGTTCGAACTTGCTTGTTCCGCATTTTCCGAACGAACAAGGGCATTCGCCGTTATTGGATCGAACAGAAAGTTCTATCTGAAAAGTTCTTATAAATTGATGATACTTCATCAAGGAATCTTTTCGTTCTCCCTCAAGTATCTCTTGTTTCCATATATTCGAGAGATTAGGAAATTAAGGAACACATAGTTCAGGTTGAGAAACAAATGATCTTTTCTAAACGAACGATTGTTCCTTAAGTTTACCATCAAAACTTTCCGTTCCACCCAATGCCTTAATAGTTCGTGCACGTAAAATTAAAAGCGCACTCGATATTTTCTCCTGACATTATTGGAAACACTCCATGATCCGTCCGTATGGATGTTTCGATGAAACATTTCTCTCCCTTTCTCGCCAGGGGCGATACGATATCGTGATGCTTATAAACAGACTGTACAATGTACAATTTACGTCGCCAGGACTCAAAAGTGAAAAGTATCCTAAAGAACGCTAGCTAGAGTCGCGCTACGCTTTCAAAGGGTTGTTATCAAAGTATTTAGTATGTAGACGCGAACAATGCGATCGCACGCCACATCTCTCCGCCATGGTCTCTCGCGTTTGAAACATTGAAAATCGGTCTAACGATAAGCTGCATAAACGATCTGGCCATTGATTGTTTTGGCTACGAATTGCAGGAATTTCGATGACGCCGAGAACAACATCCGTTCTACGAACGATGCACCGCGAAAAGAACAAGCCGCGCGCAATTAGGAGAAAACTTCACGCGTGCTTACGAGCACTTTGCAAAACCTCGTTAAACATTGTACCTAAAAGAGGCAGATAAACGAGATACAGATAATTAAATAGATAG